CTTTCTCATTCTTTCCTAGAAAAATCTCCCAAAAATAGATCAAATTTTTTTTAAAACAAAATTCACCAATTTTTTTTTTTTTAAAAAAACACAAAAATCACAAAAAATTTTCCATGATTTTGCAATTGCTAAATTTTTTTTGTTTCAAATTCACCAATTTTTTTTTTTTCTAAACAGAATCAGTCAATAACAACGACAATCAAGCAATTTCAATCAAATTTCAAGCAATCTCAAACAAATTTCAAGCAGTCTCAACAAATCTCAAGCAAATTTCAATAAATCTGAAGCAAATTTTAAACAATAATTACCTGGATTTCAAGATGCTTGATGGATTTCAGATGATTTCATCCTCGTGCACAGTTTAACTTAGGGTTTCGAGTTATTCTTTATCTTCAATTTAGGGTTTCTACCTCTCTCTATTTAGGGTTTACTTGGGGTTTCTATTTGAGAGTGTTTTGGAGGGTTTCAGAGAGTGGATCAAGATGGAGATAGAGTTGAATCTTGGTTGTTGCTTTGTTTTCTTGAGCTTTTTTTGGAGAAAGAATGTGAGAATCAAAAGGGAGTTGTGAAGAGGACTGCCTCTTGCGTAGAAAAACAAAGAGAAAGATGGATCAAAAAAGAAAAGGGGAGAGAGAGAGGGGAAGGTATGGATGGAGCTTGGAAGGATCTGAAATGCCACTCAATTATATATGGATGGAGTGAATTATATATATATACAATTATATATATATATATATATGTAAAATTTTATATATAGGTAAATTTTTGTTTTTAAATTTTGTAGTGGTATGTGAATGGTGGGGTGAATAATAATTATATAATAGATATATATTTTTTAATTTTTTTAAAAAAATTCAAGTAGAATGTAAATATTTAATTTTTTTTTGATTTTTTTTAAAAGTCATAAAAGATAAAAAATAACCAATAAAAAAATATTCAAAAACCTATATCCAAACATTACCTACAAAATTGGAGGGAAAGTCGGTTGAGATTTGCCAAAATAGCTTTGCGCCATTGGAGCACCATTACTATAATTTGGCAAAATAACACTATTCATTGTCAAATTATAGCAATAGCAATGCTATTTTAACAAACACCATTGGAGATGCTCTTAGAGCATCCACAATTGGATGGCTAAAATTGTTTGTTGAAGTGTCTTATATAACAAAAAAATATAAAAGTGGGGCCCAAAAATGCGTGTTAAGGTGTGTTAAGAGTTTGTTAATTTTAGAGAGTGAGTAGTGATGCAATAGATATGTTAAGATGTGTGTTAAGATATGTATTAAGTGTCTATATATATAAATAATAAAATAAAATACATAAATAGCCAAAATATGCCTATAACTCTTCTTCTCAGTTGAGAATATATTTATATATATATGACAATGTTTCAACAATTTCTTACAAGATTCAGAACTCCGTCTCTCTCTCCCTCTCTCTCTCTCTCAAACCGATGCAAAATAGCAAGGATCCGAACGTCTAGCCAGATGACCCCACTGCCCTTCCCCCCTATCTCTCTCTCTTTCTCTTTTCTCTCTCTCGCTGGCTAGATGGCTTGTTGCAGTTAACAATCAAATTAATAACTGACACTAATGGCTGACATTAACACACCCCTTAATAGCTCAATTGAAGCATCATTTGAGTCTTTCACTAGCCAAAATATTAACAGCTGACACTAATACACCCCTTAATAGCTCCACTGTAGATACTCTTACTTTTTTTATTGTTTTATACATTTAAAAAAAAAAAAAATAAGGTCAAAAAGTTAACCTTTAATCAAATTTTCAAAATAACCCTTTGTTAACTAAATGTAAGTTGGCCATGATATAGGGGATGAGAGATCAAAAAAACGTGAAAAGAAGAAAAGCAAAAGAAATAAAAGAAAATGAAAGAAGGTGAAAATCTTGTTTTGACTCATGAGAGTAGGATGACATAAAAAATAAAATTTGATAACATATCAAGGGTTGTAATGCCCCAAAAATAATACAATAAATACAACCCATAAACGGAAGGATAATAGAAATAGCATGCCTTTATTCATCAAAGTTCGTATAAAAAAGATAACACATGCGATACACATTTGCAAACTGTTCATTCTGAATCTACAACATGTGTGACAATGATAAGAGAACTAGAAATTAAACAGGTAATCATATTCCAAGTCATTGCTTGGTTACAACGAAAGTGAGCCAAACTCAAAACAGTTAAAGCCCTTGGCTATACAAAAGAATACAACAAAAGAAAGAAGCTTTTACTCCTAAATGTCCCTTCAAACTATTGCCTTGGTGGAGGTATTTCACCAATACCTGAAAATGGTTTTTCCCAAATAGGTTGAGCCAAAGCCCAGTAAGAATAATCTAACACAATATATGAGATTTAAAAAATATATAAGTACAATATGCATACACAATGCCTGTGACAAAGCATCCACATTTTATATAATCATAAAATACCAAGTTCATATCTTAATCCATTTTCCTTCAATTCATGAACCAATTTCATTATCTTTCAACAACTCAATTGAGATTACAACTCAGTGGTTCTCTAATCAACACAATTACCACACAAACACTTCAATTTGTCATTTTATGAAAATTTCATCCGCAGGATCGGTACCTATTTATACGCACGGTTTCGAGACTTTCACCTAGGACACTCCAGCCAACTTAATTTCAATAAAGTCCGTCCCCTATCTCTCCCCAAACATAGAGTGCATCCACTTTCTCCTTCTAAACATCATACATATATGATGTATTTAAAACATAGTCATATTCAATGATAACCAACAATATATTAGTTTTAATTCAGCTAATTCTCATACAATTTCTACAACAATTATAGCTATTCTCCACCAATAGCCCAATACAGATATTCAATCTAAACACAGATAATTTATTCAAATTTTCATAGGTGTGAGGTATTACATATCCAACTCCACCGTTTATATCAACATTCGTCCAATTTCATATTTACAACACTAATTCCATTTATTTATACAAAATAAATATTTGAACCATTTTAGGGCAAGCTCCATTTCCCCCAAATATTAACCCAAAGGTCAAAATCTACTATTTTTGTCACAATAAATACTTATGTTCAAACCCCATAACCCTTTATAACACATTCATCTTAGGAACCCCTCTTTTGATTTTATACCCGAATCCTAGGTTTGTCCATAATGCTTCCATAACCCACAATTATTACACAATAACAAATAACTAAGTTAAAAATCATATGAAAGTGTAGAAAATTCCTACTTCACAGAGAAAAGACAAGCAAGGCAAGGATGAAACTCCAAAGATGCTTAAATACAACTTTATTCGGATCAAAATGAAGATCTTGAGACGCTCTACCTTTTTCTCAAAGATACTAGGGTGGAAAACTCAATGGATCTAGGTGAAAATGTAGAAAGAAGATAAATGTTAGAGAGAGAAACTCAAGATCTAGGGTTTTGGAGAGTTTTAGAGAAAGAAATGAATGAAAAAGTGATGTAAAAATGTGGTTGTTACGAACTGATATATATGAAGTTCGCTTGAACGTGAGAAAGTGTCAGACACATTGTTCAGCTTGAGCGCAGAATGCACACTTCCAGAAGTTTTGCAGACGAAAGACATCGCGCAAGCTCAATATTGGGCAGTCGAGTGCCCATCCCCTCGAACGTAGGAAATGCCGCTCGAGCGTAGAATACACTTTTCCAGTATTTGCAGGTCTGTAAAAATACTGAGAGTTTGCAAAGCCTTCTTGAGCGCAAGAATGGTTACTTGAGCGGAGGAGCAAAAATTTGGACAACAAAGGTTTAGAAAATCAAGCAACCAACCTGTTCTAAACACACGACTACAACCCATTAGAAACCATAAGCCTGAGTCCGGAATGTAACAAGGGTCGGGTTAAAATCGGAATCGCTACATGAATAATATAGACTTTTACGAATATTGCTAACAGAAGTTTTGTTTGAGAAGTTGGTTAAGTTTTTGGCTAGTTTACCTTGAGGTTGAACTTTTTTGACTTTTGTGAATAAAAAAGTGAAATAATTATGTTTTAAATATGACATTTTGTTTTATTATTTTTTTTATCTATTTTATCTTTTTGTGACTATTTTAGTTAAAAAAAACCTTCCAAACCAAAATGCCAAAAGAGAGCAGAGTTTATCTTTGTACTTCACTCCAAATCACAAGGAGATTAAGGGTTCGTTTGGCAAGCAAGATTGGGCTAAAATAGCCACAAAAGACAAAATAGGCTATTTTAGCCACAACAAACAAAACATCACATCCAACCCATAATCATTACACTCTTCTCTCACAAAAAAAGTCAAAAAAGCCAAAAAGTCAAAAAGTTCTTCCCAAACCAAGCTTTTTAGCCCAGGCTAAAATAGCCAAAAAAGCCAAAAAGCCAAAAAGCCAACCCACTTCCCAAACGGAGGCTAAATGTAGTATATTTTTAAATCAGAAGGAGTTAAATCTGTTTTTGAACTAAACCACATGGAGGTAAATGTAATTAACACAAATTGATTATTTTAGCCTCCGTTTGGGAAGTGGGTTGGTTTTTTGGCTTTTTTGGTTATTTTAGCCTGGGCTTAAAAGCTTGGTTTGGGAAAGACTTTTTGACTTTTTGACTTTTTTGAGTTTTTTTGTGAGAGAAGAATGTAATGATTATGCGTTAGATGTGATGTTTTGTTTGTTATGGCTAAAATAGCCTATTTTATTTTTTGTGGCTAAAATAGCCAAAAAAACCCAAACCATGGCTTCCCAAACGAGGCCTTAATCTTTTTAGTCTTAATTGATTATTTTAATATAAAAAAAAGGTAGTTCCCAAATACGGCCTAAAAGAAATCAAAGATGCAATCTGAGACGTTGAGGTGGTAAGATAGTGGGGTCAACTTCTGAGGCATGCGGAGCATAAGATTATTATTCACTCTACCAAACAACCCAATGGCGGAAAAGTAACCCGGGAAGTAGTCTTTTATTTGTCAAATCCCTCAAATCCTTTGAATTTCAAAAAATTTCGAGTGTTCCCCCAAACAAAAAAATGGCTAAAAAACTACTGTCAAAACTCCGAAACCCAAAACCTCAAAAATCAAATACCCAAAATCTAACCCGCACAAACTTCAAATCAAAAGTGTCGAATAGTAAAAAGATTCTTTAAACCGCGCAAAACAGAATTAATTTTTGAATCTCTCCCTCCCTCTCCTCTTCTCACTACAAAGTTCAGTTTTTCTCAGTAGTCACAGTTCACTCGTACCCTTCGCTGCTTCTGTTTCTCTCTCTCTCTCTGTTCGTCTAAATTCTAAACAGAGACTGAGAGATAGCAATGGCGGATCAAGAGAACTGCGTACGAGTCACGCGATTGGCGAAGAAGAGGGCCGCCGAAGGAATGGCCGGATCGAAGTCTCACAAACATCATCAACCTCCAACCAAGAAGCGAGTCATTCTGGGTGAGCTTACGAACTTGTCGAATGAGCCGGCGACGAGGGATCTGGGTTCGGAGCCGAAGAAGCCGAAATCCAGGGCTGCGAAGAAGGTCAAGAAGGCAGTGACCACATCGACGACTACGACGAAGGACATTGATTCGAAATCGGAAGATCCCCAAATCTGTGGTGCTGATGTATCTGAGATATACGAGTATCAGGACGTTGAATCGGAGGATCCCCAATTATGTGGTGCTTATGTATCTGAGATATACGAGTATCTTCACAACATGGAGGTTAGTGTAGTGGGTGGTTTTTATTTATTTATTTTTAATATATAATTTCGTTTTGGTTTTACTGGAAATGGGTGCGTTTAGATTTGAATAATAGATAAAGGGTTTAGTGCCAATGCCAATAATTTGTTCAATTTGATTGCTCATTTCATGTAAATTTATGGGCTTTTATTGCTCATTTCATGTAAATTAATGGGTTTTGATTGCTTATTTAGAAGGAGGCGAAGAGGAGACCATTGCCAGATTACATTGAGAAGGTCCAGAAGGATGTGAGCCCTAACATGAGGGCAATTTTGGTGGATTGGTTGGTGGAGGTTGCAGAGGAATACAAGCTTCTCTCTGATACTCTGCATCTATCTATCTCTCACATGGATAGATTTTTGTCAATGAATGCTCTCAACAGGCAGAAACTCCAGTTGCTTGGTGTTTCTTCAATGCTCATCGCATCGTAAGCTCTGACCTCTTAAACTGCTTGATGTTTTTGTAAAGATAATCAATTTGGATGATTGGTACTTAAATTTCCTTGTTCAATCTTGATGAGCAGAAAGTACGAGGAGATCAACCCTCCAAATGTGGATGAATTTTGTTACATAACCGACAACACATACACAAAGATAGAGGTGGTAAAAATGGAGGCTGACATACTCAAACATCTCAAGTTTGAAGTGGGCAGTCCCACAATTAAGACATTTTTAAGGTATTACTGCATTGTCAACATACAATCTTTCTTTTCATCGGTGATCTTGCGATTCAATTGCCTAATTAATGTTGCCTTCTTGCTTCTTGCTTGTTGATTTTTTTTCCCCCCAGAAAATTCACTGCTGTTGCTCAAGAAGATTACAAAGTAAGCTCAACTCTCTCTATTGTGTGTGTGCACGTGTTGCCTATTTTTCTTGCTGATTTTTGTTATTGACTTGTTGGGTACTTATTAATGTTCTTGTTCTTATGCAGATTCCAAATTTGGAGTTGGAGTTCTTGGGTTATTACCTAGCAGAGTTAAGCTTGTTGGAGTATGGCTGTGTGAAATTCTTGCCTTCTTTGGTGGCTGCATCTGTAGTATTTCTTTCACGGTTTACAATCCAACCAAAGTTGCATCCTTGGGTAAGAGCCTACTTTTGAATACTCCAACTCTCAAGCTCATGATAAAGCTCTTGATTAGCAAGCTGTAAATTAATCTTATGTCATTTTACAGAGTTTGGCCCTGCAACATTTCTCTAGCTACAAACCTGCTGACCTAAAGGAATGTGTTCTTATCATACATGATTTGCAATTAAGTAAAAGGGGAGGTTCTTTGGTTGCAGCAAGAGATAAATACAAGCAACATGAGGTATATACATGTTTTTGAACTTGTTATTGGCATTGTAGTGAATGGTCATCTTTAAAAATGGCTCTGATTGAAATTTAATGACTTCCTTGGAACAGTTCAAATGCGTCTCGACATTGTCCTCTCCTCAGGAGATACCAAATTCTTTTTTTGAAGATGTTAAAGATTCATAGTGAGGGTTAGAGGAGAATTAGTTGATCTTGCTTGATTGATGGGGAGATGATTGTCTTGAAGAATGTTCTTGCATCGGAAGGTAGCATTCAGAAAACTCCTGCTGGTTAATTGTGTTTGATAATTGCCGGTTGTTTTGCTGATTTGGTTGTTTTGGGCTGCTGGTGTGATCAATTTCTGCTGGACAGTGGTTACTAATATTAGTGTGGTAGTTCTTCGTGACATGTTTAATTTGTAATAATTGGATAGTGTGGGATTTTGTTAGCATATGGTTCATTGCTTAATAGTTTTTGATTAGGTGGTCTCATGACCTTTTTTATCTTTGAAATCTTTGATTTAGATCTTTCTCATGTAAACTCAAAAATTATTATAAAATAACATCTGACAACAAGAGCATCATACAGCATAATGGTGAGAGATGTTTACTACAAATTTGTTTTTTTTTTTGTCGTGTAAACAGTGATTTTCAAATTATTCATGCCTACAAAATCCTAAACTGGGTGAATGAGGTAATTAGAGAGGAAAGATTCCCCTTACTTAAATTGTTAGCAGTTTGTCAGCGGTATTGTTTGCTTATGTGAATTTAGGGAGAAGGTGAAAATAAATTATGAAATAACCTTGTTTTATGTGTATTGTACTCTTCCCTCCTTTATAGCCAACCAACATAGGCTTGGTTTGGAAAGTGGGTTGGCTTTTTTGTTTTTTTGGTTATTTTAGTCTGGGTTAAAAAGTTTGGTTTGGGAAAGATTTTTTGGCTTTTTTTGTGAGAGAAGAATGTAATGATTATGGGTTGGATGTGATATTTTATTTTTTGTGGTTAAAATAGCCAAAAAAGCCTTCAATCCAACTTGCCAAACGGAGCCACAATCTTCCAAGGAAGAATTACCACAATCAAAGTAACAAGATCATAACTAGAGCATTGCTTGAATCTTAGATTGAGAGCTTCTCCTTGCGGTGCCCCCCAAATTATGCCATTTTAGCACCATAAGTCAAACAGAAAATATCAACACTTGTAGCAAGCAAGATCCTTTTAGTGTGCATTAGATGACAAATTTAAGGATTGTATATCTACACTAATATTATAATGAGTATTCTAATTAGGTGTTAACATAAATACAATTGTTAATGCTATTTTTTTTTTAAAACTAGTATTCAAGAAAATTCATTTTCACTATTTACACAACTTTTGTGCTTAGATTAATAGAAAGTTATTTATATAAATTTCATCAATAAATTGTTTCATTTTTTAGGACATTTTGCTATTGTTTTGGAGAAATATCAAATAAGTCTTAATTTTCTAATGAAATTTTTATTGGGTCTTATTAACACATGAATTAACTCTCTTAAAATAGGACTTATTTGATATTTTTCCAATTATTTTCTTCCTATAGCAAATGCATCACACTAGAATATATATATATATATATATATATATATTGTAATGAAAGAATTTTAATAGTCTATGTTTGATATTTGGATGAAATTGATTGAAATTATGAGTATGATGAGATTAAATGATTAGATTAGTGACAAATTATGTAAATATTTTCATTAATAGGTGGTTTTATAGTTTTGAAAATGAGAGCAAAATAAATTTGAATTTCTAATTCTATGAGATATGGTTAACAATACTATTATGGGGTGTTTTGGGAAGTAAATAAAAAGTTAACTTTTAGTTTTTATTCATTTTGAATCAAATCATCTCATATATTTTTTATCTACAAAAAAGATAAAATAGATTAAAAAAGGTTAAAAAACTAATTTTTTATCAATTTTTCAAAACACTACTATATGACTTTAGGCTCAAGTTATTTTTTACCATCAAACATTATTTACCTGGGACCATCAAATTGTTAATTCATTCTCATAGTTTATGGAGATGATCACACATGAGAGTAGTGCATGAGGAATGTTATAATAATTATCTAAATATATAATTTTATTTTATTATTTTAATGTTTGAGTTTGAGTCCAAGTTTGGGATGTTCCAAAAAAGCTAAAAAGTCAAAAAGTTACTCAAAAAGTTAAAAAGTTAACACTATTCACCAAAAGTCAACAATTACGGCTGCACAACTCCCAATTCAAAATTTTCCCTACAAATCAATTTTTACAATTTTTTATTACACATTTTTCAATAAAAAGTCAAAAAGTTAATCAAAACATCCATATTTTCAACCTAAATTTTTTAGTCAAAAAAGACAAAAAATGCACTTATTTAGCCTTCCTAAACTTGGCCTAAGTTACCAATATACCATAACTAAAATGGTAATTTAATACGACAAAAAAAATGTAGCAAACGTTGCAATTTGTTAAAGAAGGCACACCATTACCAAGAGGGCAGTGCATAAGAATTGACCACTCAAAATAATATGAAAAATGCCGTGTTTCAATGCTCCAACTGATGAATTCTTAAACAAAAACTGACTATCGCACTCAGATGATGTTACGTTGGTGAGTAGGGTTGTTCTATCCTATCCAGCCCAATCAGCTATAAAAAGCAAAAATTTCCATATCAGACAAACATGTACAACCCACATAAATATAACAAAAATAAAAGCACAAGAGCCAAGATCTCTATACATATATACATATATTAACCCAAAAATTGAACTTGAGGAGAGAGGAGAGAGAGACCCCAGTTTTAAGGGACTGAAAGCAAGCTTAAAAGCAAAAACACCCAGAAAAGTTCTCGTGAAGCATAAAGAATGTATAAAGTAATGCAATAAAAGTGTCCCATCGTTTGCAGTGTCCTTGTTTACAGGGGTGTATGTATATCATCTATGCACTCAACTCACAGCTACTTCATATCAAATTTGCCTTGCCTTTCTCTCTTCCCCTCCCTCTCTGGAGCTAAACCCATTCTCTGTTCTTTTCTCTCTCTCTCTCTCTCTCTCTCTCTACAAAACATGCAATTGAAGCACTCTATGCAGGTGGGTTGGTTGCAGAAGCCAATGGTGTTGGTTTTGCTTCTTCTTCTCTCATTCTTAGTCTCTGGTGAGGATGACAAAGTGGTTGATGTTGTTGACATGAAAGATGTAGCACCAGAAAAACAAGAGACGGAACAGAGAGAGCAACAGCATCAGGTAAAGCAGCAATGGAGGCACTCATTGGATGTTTTCTACTCCAGCAAAAGGAGAGTTCCAAATGCTTCAGACCCTCTTCACAACCGTTGAAAGCTTCTTGATGAAGCTTTATTATCATGGAGTATTTTGTGTTCTTGTAAGATAAAAGAGAAGCTAGCAGAGTAGGAAAATGTGAAATGGGAATGGCAAATCAATGAGCTGTAAACAAAAAGAGTAATTATAAAATTATGGAGTCGGGAATTCGGTGTAAATGAGAATTATGTTTTAAATTATACTTTTTGCTTTATACATTTACGTTTTTTTAAGATTGTTTAGAATGTCTTAAATAAATGTATTTTTTATTTTTTTAAATTAAAAAATTAACGTTGAAAATATGAATGTTTGGGTTAATTTTTTGACTTTTTATGAAAAAATATGTGTTAAAAAATTGTATAAATTAATATGTAGAAAAAAATTAATATTAAGAGTTGCAATTGTTGACTTTGAGTGAATAGTGATAATTTTTTAACTTTTAAAATAATTTTTTGACTTTTTAATTTTTTTTGGAGACTTTCTAAATTTTACGTTAATTTGATAATTACTTTTTATTATTATTTCTCACTAAGTCTATTAAAAATTTATTTTAATGACTTTGATCAAACATTCATCAATTACTTTTCACATTTTTCTCTTGTTTGATTAGTATCAGTGAGGTTGTAGTGCCATCTGTTAGTCGGATGTGAAAAGGATAGATACTTTATACATATACAGTGGATGCAGCATTAGTCCATTGGTCTGCGCATTTTGTCAAATGATGGTTGCGTATGGGGTGCTGTTTGTCCTCGTAAATTGCATGAATGCTTTCAACTTTTGCCTCTTTTTCAATACAGAAATAATACATTTATGTAATTTAAAAGCTCAAAAAGAATATTAATGATGTAAAAAATAAAAAAAATAAAAAAAAATAAAATATCATATCACATGAGATTTAAACACTAATTAAAATTCTTAAAATTCTTAATTTAGAGTTTCTAATCTTTTTTTTATGGGTAAATTACAAATACACTTCCTGAAGTTTACTTAATATGGATTGTCCCCGTGATTTGAAAAGTTACAAATATATCTTTCTATCAATTTTTTTTATTTAACAGAATTAATTGAAAAAGTGAAATTTTTAACTATTTACCTATATAATAATAAAATTTTATGAATTATTAATTGAAATAAAATTTAATATTATTAAAAATTGTTAATTAACTTAATAAATTATTAATAAAAGGACTTATTTGTTATGAAATTAGAAATCTTAATGGATACAATATAATTTCTAAAACTACAGAGAATAATTTATAATTTAAGTAAACATCCGTGAGTGTTTGTAATTTATCCTTTTTGTTTTCAATATTTGTAGTGTTTACATTCTCTTTTTTAAAATTTGGATAAATTAGCTGAGATTTTTTTTTTGTTTTGTTTTGTTTAATATAGATCCTCTTCATATTTGAAAAATTATATTATTTTATTTGAGATTTATAAACTTATCATAAGTTATTCTCAGCGGGTTCATTTGGGATGTGTTGGCTTTTTTTGACTTTTGTGAGAGAAATAATAAAATGATTATGATTTGAATGTGATATTGTCTTATTGAGTAAAAAAGCTTATTTTATTTTTTTGTGGTTATTTTAACCCCAACTCACCGCAACTCGTCTTCCCAAACGATGATTGAATTGCTGATGTCATGTTCTTAAATTTTCTAAACGAACATTTTATCTTTTTTCTTACTATTTTTTCTTCCTATCATCATAATTACATTTTACAATTTCTCATCATTAAATTTTATCGAACATATTCTTATTGAGTGGTAATATACAAACATAAATTTTGTATATCGTTTTCAAACACAATAATATAACTTAATAGTGACATTTCACTTTAAGACAAAACATTTAGAAACATGATTTATATTTATAACAATATTACTATCATAATATTTGTATGATATTTTTTTGTATAAATTTTTATATATGAATATAATTTTTTATTTTTATTTCTACCATTATATCTAGATTAGATCAATTTAATTTAGATATATTTAAAAATTATAAAATTAGTTCAATTTTTTTTAAAAAATCCATTAAATATAACAAAATAAGAAACAAAATAAGATAATGAATTGAATTTTTGTATTTGGTGAATTTTTTAAAAAAAATCACAAAACATTATCTTCTTAAGTATATCTAGATTATGTGTATCTTAAAAAATATAAAAAAGAAAATTACTTAAAATATTAAAAAAATCAATAAAATTAAAAAACACAAAAAATAAAAATAAAAAAACTCAATTTTTT